CCAGAGGAGGGCCACAAAAATGATCCAAGGGCTGGAGCCCCTCTCCTATGAGGACAGGCTGAGGGAGTTGGGCTTGTTCAGCCTGGAGAAGAGAAGGCTGCGGGGAGACCTGATTACGGCCTTTCAATACCTAAAGGGGGCCTATAGGAAAGATGGGGAAAATCTTTTTAGTAGGGCCAGCTGTGACAGGACAAGGGTAGGTTTAGACTAGATATAAGGAAGAAATTCTTTACAATGAGGGTGGTGAAACACTGGAACAGGTTGCCCAGAGAGGTAGTGGAGGCCCCATCCCTGGAAGCATTCAAGGCCAGGTTGGACGGGGCTCTGAGCAACCTGATCTAGTTAGCGGTGTCCCTGCTCCTACAGGGGGGTTGGACTAGATGACCTCTAGGGGTCCCTCCCAACCCAAAACATTCTATGATAGATAGGAGTACCTATACTCGCGTGGGGGGGGATCAACTATTCCATGATACAAGATACATGCTTTAAACACAGTTCTCACACCTTGTGTTGTGGGACTTCTGAATCTGGAAATCTTACTTCTCATGTCCGTGCACTTTCTGTCACTACACTGCATTTAGTGGTGAATTCTTCCAAACTGATTTTTCAAAGAGCATAATAAAATAAAGACATGACCAATTCCCACCACTTGGCATGCTGCACTTATTCACATGATTACAGGATCTGACAGTCATGTGGTATCTAATCTCTGCAATAAAGGTACGCATATTTCAGTGAATATACACACAGACACCCTGAAGGCCATTCCTGCATCACGAGAAAGCTACATATCCCTTAAATGCATGCTTTTCCTTACCTGAGCAGAAAAAACCTAAACGTTCAGGCTTCAAGCATACAGTTTTCTCCATTCTAAACGAAAAATAATCCAACTTCACAAATTCCCAAATAGCTTATACCTTCATCTCAAATATTTTTACACTTTCAGAAACACACTTCTGACAGCTATGAAAATATGCTAAGTTTGATATTCAAGGAAGAGTCACTTTTCACTCTCCAATACACAGAATTCATTTTACACCATATTTTCCTCCACAAACACACAGAAGCAGCAATTGCAACCTTTACTTCTACCCTTATATAATAAACAACTTGTATGAAGAACAAACTTCTTTGTGAGTTCAAAATAACTGCAGCAAAGCTGACCTTAAAACCAAGAAATGTACATGCAAATAAGGAACACATAACTGGTACTGAGATTTCATTCCAGCTGCAGGGTTTCATCTCCACTTTAGGATAAAGTGGAATCTGTGACCTCCCTAATATTGCCAGTCCCCAAATTCATACAAGACTCTCCAGAATTATGGATTTTTAAGTATGGTTTACACTGAGAAATTTATATAAAAAGTATAGTAATTATAGAAAGTACACTAATTTTATCATTAAAAAAGAAATGCCTTGATGTCTGCTGTTTATCCTTAATCCTCCTGTATCTACTGAGGATTACTAAAACAGGTCTCAGGCCAGCAAAGGAAAGATAATGTCAAAAGGGCCGTGGGCTTCACTTTGATGAACCTCATTCTAACTGTTGTTCTCTTCCATTTCATCTCTTGAACAGAGCTACCACTGGTACAGAGGAAGAAAACAAAATGCTAATACCTCAATTTTGGAAATAGAATCAGTGCAGCCATTTAAAAGCAACAGATACTGCTTTAGAACTGTTTCTTTATCCAAAAAAAAGTTTTCCTTTCAAAGTAGGGTTTCACTTGGCACCAAGGATTCTCTTATCACGGTACAGTGAATTTCTTGCAGCAAACAGAGGTCCCGACTTCAATCAAAAGACACATACATACTTCTGAAACCCATCAGGGCACAAGAAAGATGTGTTCCTCAATGCCACATTTGGTTATGAATTAGCCAAAGGTCTGTACATGTGACTTGGCATCACAGCGGTACTTGTTAGTGTCCATTAAAAAAAAAACCTCAAGAGCCTCTAGGTTAATGTGATAATTCCTTCTCAAAGCTAGAAGTCTTTGCTAATAATTGAACTAGGCAATGTTATAGACCATGCTACAAGTTATATCGAGAGTTTTTCACTCAAACATGAGAAAATCTGGATTTATAGACTTCTTATGCAATCCACGAGTGACACATACTTAGAGAAGTGATACATGTTTTAAAATTAGGCTCCACTTCTAACACAACAGTTTTCCCTGTCCCTAACTGTCTGGCTAAGACTGATCCTTAAATGGTAAGTGCTGTGAAAGCATTTGAAGCAGTGGGACTTGCCTAGGCAGCACTCCAAAAACACAGGAAATCCCAATGTTTTATTTTTAATTGTCTTTTTTTTGTATTTCCAATTGCTGCTTTTCTGCTCTGCTGCATCAGTAACAATGCCTTTCTGTTCCCCACTGCAAAGCCTGACGCTTTAACAAATTACTGCTCACAGAAAAAGGAATGGGCTCATTTTGGCACACAGTACCAGGTTCTGAAAATGTAGACTAACTCTGAGACAACAAGAAGTGCCAGGTTTTGGCACTGAAATAGCATTACCAATACGGAAGAAGGTAAATCAGCTGTCATGCACTAAAACTGAACCAGCAATTACACCAGTCTTCTAAAAAAGCCTGAATCTCCTAAATAAGAAGCATAAAAGCTTATCAACACATGGCTTTAAAAGTTGGGTTGGAGTGACAGGAGAAGCACAAAGGATCAAAAGAAGCATAAAACAAAACCAAAGAGGAAAGGAGAGAAAAACCACCGCGAAGGAACATTCTGAACATGAAAAATACGTCAACTTGTACCAGCAACAGAAAACACCCTGGGGTCATTCCCTCCTTCGTGTTCTCACACAAGCCGCGTTTTATCAGCAAGAGGAAAACTAAGTGCAATCGCCTTCACATTGTGCTTCACCTCTAAAGCTTGTCTCCCTTTTCTCACAGATGTTAGTAGTTATTTAGATTGCACCATAGGTAGCAACACAGTCACAGGATCCCTGACAACTGTGTTTAGACAGAGGAGTGCATTAGAAAGGTGTAGCTGGCATTCAACTTAATTTTCTGTTGTGTACATGTAGCATATTTGATCTTTCAAAAAAGGCTGTTCCCTCCAAGCTTGCCATTGTTTTCTTTTCAAAAGGTGTGTTTAACCAGTTCTGCGGCCCACATACTGTCAATACAATCACCTATGAAAGGGAATGGCCAAAACCAGATGCTGTTAGCAACTGTACTTTATATGCTCCCCCTTCCTCCCCAAGATGGACGTAAAGAGCAAACACCTTGCAGCAGAGCCTGAAAATTAAACGGATGGGGCTGAATGGAAGCAATTTCACAGTTGCAGACTTTTTGAAATTAAGTCAGGGGCACACTGCATATAGCAATCACACCGAGTGCCCCTTTACTGTGCAAGGAGACAGCTGTCCTCCCAGCTACCTAGAATTCAGCTATGATTTCTACAGCTATAAAAGCATGTTAATCTTAGAATTGCATCTGGAAATGAAATAGTTTAATGTGTTCCCTTTCAAAATACCAGTGGCAGCATTTTGCAAAAGATGATACTTTCAGTTTAGGATTTATTTCCAGCCACAAAAGCCAAAACAAACGTACAATTCTTGATACCAAACCCAAAATGCAGATAATCTCAGAGTTTATCTACGCCAGCATTACTGCTGGTGAGTTGATTGCTATGATCTGTAAGTCAAAAAAAACCTCACACCCATCCCCATTTGCAGGCAGCAATAGTCAGAAGTCAGTTCTGGTTGGGGTAATGTCTGTCAGCAGACAATTACTGAGCCTGTCTTTAAATGAGTAAATTTCCATCTTTTCTCTCTTGAAAAAAAGACGGAACACCGTAGGAATATAAAGTTGTCCTTTTTTTTTCTTTTCCTGCAAAAGCAGGACTGGTCTTGCATTATAAAAGGTTACACTGCTGTAAGCTCAGTACTCACCTCCCAGACAGATAAGTTGACATCTAAGCTCTTTCTTCCTAGGCACATTGCCCCAAAGTAGTTCTAATTTCAAATTAACCACTTATTAGGAAAGGACTTTTTTTTTTTTTTGAGGTATAACTGACAGCCATCAGAATGCTCATCCCTATCAGATCTACTGAAAGCAGGTATGGACTTTTAACCAAGTTACCATGGCTCATCATGCCGCTGCAGGTTAGCGGAGCTGTAGTAATCTATCATCTTCACACCCAGCCCACACCAATTACAGGGTATTAAGCCCCACCTTGAACAGCAAAGGAATTATGGGCCAGACAGTCTAAAATAAATTGCTTTTTTTTGGGATTTGCTGTAGTCACACAGTTATCTTTGCTCTTGATGCATAGTGACCTGCTAAGCTGTCATAACTGGATTGCAGTTCTAAGCCCTATTGCTTTCAAGGAAGTCACTTTATGTGGCTTACCTCCAGATATTTCAAACTGTGGCCACATTTTAACCTTTTTTAATCTTTACTTTTTACATAATCAATCTGAAGACAAAATGCTACGTTATTCCATGGTTATTGCTGCCAGAAAACAGAAGTCCCACTACATCTGCTAGCCCACCCAGTTAATAAATGCCACAATTTGGCCTGCCTCAATGCAGGCAAACCAAGACCCTTACCTGCTCGGGGCTCTATCGTCTTGTTGGAACCTGCATCTATGAAGACAAACCGTCCACCGCCAAAGTCTTCAGTGTAGTCAGAGAGATAAAGCAGTGACGTGTAGTCAAAAGAGCCATAAGTTACCTAGGAGTAAGACAACATGATCAAAATTTACCAGATTCCACTCATCCCTGCAGAGCACAAATAATTAAGCAGATGGATCTGAGGTTTCTTCTAATTTTCCAGATTTCACATTTAATAAAGGAGTCTCTTTTCTAGAAGTTATATATGCTTATTATGCTTACACACACTACATACAAGTCTAGTATGTTATGTTTATTATTTCTATTATTCCAGTTTCCATAATTAAAGTAGAACTCCTACTGATTTCTGTCTTCCCACGTCCACTAAAGAGCTAGCAAAAACCAACATAGTGTCAGAAGTTACCCCTCTGCACTGTATCAAAAATATAGAAGGGCTCTGATCTATTTACACCATTTCAAGATAAAATTTCACCATAAGGTTAATGAGACCCAAGAACAGCCTTTGACTAATACCACCCATTATCTAATCATGGTTATAGGTTTCTGGAAACCTCACTTTTTACTCTTTCACCAGCTACACCATGCAGGAGCTTCATGGTAGCAGTGAATCAGACCTTCCAAGTAAACACACATTTGTTGGAGGAACTTCTACTCTTCTCCATACAGGTTTTGTTTAAAAACCTTCAAACATGACTTTCAAAGTCTCTGCTTCTTCTCACCCTACAGACCAAACACCCCATTAAGTACAACAAGGTGATTTTTCCTTCCTTTTAAAGGGTTGGTTTTGCTCAACATGTATGCTGAAGATGGAGGAAAGAAATACTATATATTAATGCTTAGAGTGAAGCTATCTAAATATTTAACACTGAGTTTAGCTGATTCTGAAAATACTTCCTTTTCATATCTACACGTCATCAACAATTAAAAATACACTTAAAATCAGTGGCTGTATTCTCCAGTTTCTTCACAGTATATCACAACTCAAATCAAGTGCTGCATTACTGTCAAACAGTGAAATGTGCAGCACAGTAGCACTGTATAAATACACAGCATTTGCAGAGTGTTTTGACTGACCTGGTGACTGTCGGAGGTAGGTGCTACTTCCAAACTTAGAAGTTTTCTAAATATTTTCAATTTTGTTTTAAGTTACATTCATTACTGCCAGTTAAATTTTGGCTCAAGAGCAGTTGTACATATTATTCTGTAAGGGTAATTACTAAAGAGAACATAGGAGCAGATGGAATAGGAAGACATTTTCACTCTTACTCATTTTATTATTTTGACCATAAGGGCTTAAAGGAAAAAAGCCAAATCTGGTGATACGCTGCGCTACACAGTCCAAATCACAAGAATTAGAGAACTGTTTTGGTGATCCCCTTCTCTGCATATTTACCCAAACCTTAGCAGCAATACAAGGCAATAAGTGGAAATTAATAAGCATGTGGTAACGCAGCACCTCAAAAGAGCCATTCTACAGCCCTCCTCACGCAATCAGCTTTGCAAAGCTATTTTCACTTTCATTGATCTGGTGGTAAAATTTCCAGTCAGTTTAAGGAAGTCTTCCAGCCAGTGAAGGCATTAGCATAGTGAAGAAGTTCGTTCAACTCATACTTGCAAGTGTAATGCATTAAAATTGTTTTTCTGAACTCTTCAGTGGTGCAGCAATGTTTGCTCCATCAATGCACTCTGTCCTCTCCAAGGTGGCTTCACCAATTCTGAACTTTTAAGAGCCAACTACAAACCATTTTAGCTTAACTAAACACATCTGATTTCTATAGATGACTAATTTGGGGAACCAAGTATGCAATGGAAAATGGCTTTTCTGTTCCTGTCCTTGTTCACTACTAACTCTCAAAAGGCAGCCAGGCCTGAGAAATGCAACACTATGGAAGACAAGGCACTAAATTATACTTAGATATTTAAAATGCTAGAAGTCCCCCATGTATATCAAATGTATTTATTACCCTGGTAATGGTTTCCAATACCAGAAAGGTTAATAACTGAACCAGAAGTTCAAACTATGTGAGAAAAGCGGTCATTAAAAACCAGGTGATAACACATACAGGCACACTGCAGGAAAACAGATTTCTATGGCTCTTTGTGAACAATTCAATAGAAGAAATGCAGGCACTTCCATTCAGCCTGATACTTCATACAGTTCTTGTGCTGGTTTTGAGCACCCTTTACCCAAATAAGTCAAATACAGCTAATATTTCATGATAGATGCTCATAATGAGATATATATGGTACTTTTTTAAAGGCTGTTATAAATACAACGAATTGTCAGAATTAGATACCCAAATTTTGCGGTGTGGCACCCTTGGGTTTTTGAGGGACACACATTTATATACAAATAAGCAGCTGTAGGAATATGCTATCGGCCTGCAGTTACTTAGATAGATATGTAGGACAGCATCCTCTGCTTTCCATTGCAGAAGAAAATAAAAATGTGTATTCACTTCCCAATCAGCACAGGTCTAGCACAGTATCTTGTAGAAATGAGTCAAAACTACTCTTCTCCTGTAAGCCTGTACTTATCTCTTTGTGCAGATAATCACAAAAATAGCCTTGATGGCTACTTCCAGTGTTCTATATATTGATAGAATCTATTTAGCAGACAATGTAATTCAGAGACATTCTATGTCTTACAAGGGGCTGCAGGTGAGCTGAGGTAACAGGTTTGAGCAGACACAGAATAAATTCCTCGGAATACAAAGACGATGCTGTCCTAAGGCAGAAGTAAGGTCTTCTGATGTATTTCAGTAGATGTCTAACAGCATGAGGGGAAGAAAAAGAAGAGTGAAAAGTCTGCTAGAACAGATAGCAGCTGCTATCAGTGATAGCCTCAAGAGCCAGAGGAGAGGGCTGCTAAAGGGTTAGGGAGCTGGAGAGCATATCACAGGTACAGATGCTGGAAGGTTTGGCTCATTCACCTTGGAGAAAGTCTGAAAAGGGATACAACTGCTACCTATAAATATGTGGGGATGGGAGGAAGGGAAAAAAAAAGCTAAAAACGGAACATGAAAAAGTTTAGAGGAAAAAAAAAAAAAAAAAAAAAAAGAAAATTTGCCCTGAAGTGCTGGAATAGCTCTGATAGAAATTGAAGGAAAACAAATCAAAACCAATCTTATGGCAAAGCCTGACAATTCTGTGAAGGATGACAGCATCCTCGCCTAGGCAGGGGACTGCAGAACTCGTCAAGTCCCACATAACTTCTATTAAAGAACATTATAAGACTATACTGCTGTCAGAGTTGAGCGTGCAACAGCAATTCCATTATAAATCAAACATTTGAAAGGCTCAGTTCCAAACAAATTCCATCCAAGAAGAAACTCCACATCTTAAGCCAACACTCTTTATTTGATTTAGATGCTTATAAATGCAACAAGATTAAATCGTTTATATGGGTGATTTCAGGGTTTCCATTCCTATGTAACTAAAAACCAAATAAATTTTAGGGGAAAAAACCAAAGCCTCATATAGACACAATAGATCTGTGCTAGTCCATTATGCAGTTAAAAATCTTCCAAACCAAGGATATTCAGACTGAGGAATAATTGCAATAGATTCAGCAACGTAGGGAAAAGGGCAAGAGGAGTATTCGTGTGCTCCAAGAAGCCTACATCTTGGAACCAACAGTGTCAGACTCTGAAACAAAAAAATGTGCCAGGTTCATTTTTCAAAGGTTTAATTTTACCTTTCTTTTGGAAAGAGGCAGGGGAAAAAAAAATCCTGAAGTCTTCTAGGAGCAACCTTTACCATTTAATTATTAAATTAAATTATTTAATTATTATGCAGAAATACAATGATTTATTCTATTCTAAGGGGAAAGCATAAATGATACAACACCAAAGCATCCAACAAACTGGCAAAGTATTTAACAGGCTGAGTTTTATTGATCTTTCTTCAACTCCCTAGTATTCACACTTGTTTTGGGAGGCCACATAAGAATACCACTCCTCTTATTTGGGAAATATATCCTACCTCAGATCAACAGCAATGCTTTTTTTCCTTGCTTTCAACTGTAGTCTGGAAGTGGTAAGTGAAACTTTGCTGGAGAAATTAAAACACAAGGCAGGCTGACTGCACCAAAAAACCTGTAAAGCTACACAACCTGTCTATCCTATTTAGTCTTCTCTGAAATATTTTGTGATCTACTGACCTTTGATTTGAATTCAGTCTCCTGCATAACCTGATCAACTATAAAAACTTTTTTTACCTCTTTCTAAACACATAACAATATAGATACAGATATATGTAATGTATACCTTTAGTAGGCTAAAATAATACGCAGACATATATTCTACACATACAGTAACACTTTCTGTAAGCCACGATCTGGCAAACACATACATGAGTGCTACATCCAGATAGCTCTGTTCCAATTGCACTTAAGGGGAAAGTAATACCAGACCTTTTGACACACAAGCAGAAGTTAGAGAGGAGACAGGAATTAGAAGCTTGTTTGTGCAGCAAGGAAAGGATTCAAATTAACCCTTTGATGCCAGTTCAAGTGAGCGATGTACCAGAAGTGAAGGCAGCCAGTGTCCAGTAACAATGATACATGATTATGTAATTTAGGCTTTCACGATGGACATGAAGTGAAGAGGATGAAGGATGTATCTCTATCAGAACCTATTTAAGGTATCATTAGCCTGGTTCAAACTCTGAATTTTCAATCAGGCAATGCAAACTGCTGTCATTTAAACTACAGAAGTACCTGTATTATCTGGCAATAGCTGAAGGCCTTTATCCTAGAGAAGGGATTAACCACTGAGCTGGGGCAGTTTCCACATGAATGATCCCAGCCCACAGTGGCTTGGTCCGTCTCCCTTCAACAGCCTCTGCACTGGCAACATCATTTACTCCATGTGAAGCCCAAAGAGTGAGAAATGGAGCCCCAAACCACAAGCTCACTAAGCACTTACAAGAAGTCTGCTCTAGGTCTCTATGCCACAGCACCCATAAAGCCCCTTCATGCTGGCTAGGGGCCAGGGAAGTTCTGTTCCCTTGTGCTCCCCCAAAAAATAAAAGGGAACTGATCAACACAAGGCTCCCAGCTCAGCATGCAACGTTGCTGTCACGGCAGCACAGACAGTGGCCCAACTTCAGCATATTCACATGCAATCTGTATTGCAAGAATGCTCTTGAACAAGAACAAAAATAGCTACATTAGAAGATTTGATCAAACCTGGAACATAAGTTCAAGGCGCAAACAAAAAGCACTTCAGTGGTCTGAATGGTTTAGCTTTCCCAATACAGACAATTTACTGCAGAAGTCAGCTGCTACAGAAGTGAAAAATGTACAAATTAATTGAATAAACAGGACAAGCCACAGTTTTAACTCCCAGTGTTATCTAAACATTACTTCCCTCAGAAAATACCTTGAAATTTAGCATAAGTCACATTTTCATATTTTACAGCAAGTTTGTCATTTAGGGCAGGGGAGACACGACAAATTCTACGTGATTATGAACAAGGTGTTTGGTAACTGCCCCAACTGGGATAGTTCTCTGCACTGCTCTCAATACTCAATTATTCAGTATAGAAACTATTAAAGTTTAGGTTATGCATAGCAAGTTTAAGAAACCACATTTTGCATTTGTTTTGCTTTTTGAAGCTGGGGGTAGATTAGAAAGAGCCAAGGCCAATCAGTTCATATATCTGCTCCCTGAACAGACAGCCGGTGAGATAAACAAAATGTGGACAAAACAGATGGATAAAAAACAGCAAAACATCTAGCCTGCTGTCCATCACATACAGGCACTGTCAGGATGCTGTAACAGAGAAGTAGCTTCTACAAAGACAAAATTCTCTTCATGGAAACAGATTTGCTTCTAAATGACAAAGTGACTTGTACATTACAGGAGAGATTTAGGTAGAAAGACATATTTGTGAAGTTATCCAACCATCTTATTCATTTACAATGCAAAACACATGCAGAAAAGAATAAAGAGAATATTGGCAAGCCTAATGCAGACACAACTCTCGTTACAGTAATAAATCAGAGTCTGAAATTCCAAAATATGCTTTTTTGGACTGAAAGAAAAAAAGAGGAGAAAATAGCCATCGGCTATTGAAATTTACTGCTTTCTCTTCCCTTGTGGCAGTCAAATTCAATTCTCTGAAAGTATGGAAAAACTATGAGGAACCTATGAATTTATTGCACTTCACACAACCAGAATCACTAGTTTATTCAGTGTCTCTTGGAAATGAGTGCAACACACGATGGAATTCTCATGAACCCCACCAGCACAATTTGCTCCCTGCAACCAGTTCCTACCAGCAATGGTCAAAATAACCTGTACCTCAAAATCATCCCTACCACCTCTGGTCCAAGGTCCACTCCTGTTCAACAGTTCAACATCACAGCTATTTAAACAAGAAGCATCCAAAAGCTGGTCTGGTCTTTGTTTTTCAGTGACTGCAAATTCCACCTTGCACTACTTCCTTCTTTGAAGCAGCGGCTGTATCAGGTCACTGTCACTATGTTATCTAAATTTAAAGTTGCTTCTGCCTATATGACAAGAAAGGGCACAGGAGCTTACACTAATGTTGTGAACAAGAACAGACACTATACTTTCCTCAGACTGACATTTTCCAGGAACTATTTTCAAGGCAAGGAATATTCCTCTGATTTTTCATCATAGACGTCTCGGGTCATAGACTTCAAGGTACACTGCTCACATACAGACTTCAGCACTAGGCGTAGCTTAGATTTTGATGGGATAACTTTTATTTGGTTCAATCTTGGGTGATCCATGACTCTAGAGTGACTCTAATTTTTAAATCCTGAAAACATGAGATGTGGGTATTCTTATTCTGGTTCTTTAGAAGGGGGGGCTATTTTTTGTTTTTTACTGTTTGATTCTTCCATTGTTGGTTTGTATTCTGCTATGCTGCACAGAACCTGTGAACTCACTTAAATTCAGAAATAAACCTAATACCAATCCCAAATCATTTAAGTCCATTGAGAAATGCAAAGTATTAAGCTGTGAGCCTACAGATAGAAGACTACGCAGTTAAAAGAAAGTCACAATACTTACATTCTAAAATCAACAAAACATATTAAAAGAGACTACCATACCCCCATTGAAGAACAGGTAGTAAGAGAGCCTCAATTCAGGTATAACTGAAATATAAACATTAATCATTTATCAAGAGGCTCAGATCAACTAACAACAGTGAACAACTGACTACTTTGAAATAGCTCCTGCCAGACCTGGCTGAAAGAGCAATACCCTAACTGGAAACACAGATTTGACGAAACCAAAACACTTTGTAGGTACAAGTCAATTTAATCAACATTTCTGACAAAAAGAAATTCCCAAGTAGTCATTCACATAATTTATTAGTTCTAGCAGAACTAAAGTGGAAAAAGTAAAATAAAGAGGAATGTACTGGCCTGTGTTTTTAAAACTCATCCTTCCATTGGGTTCATCCCCTGAAGGATTTTTACAAGCACCATTTTTCAAACACATTTGACTGTTTAATGCAAAATGTCTTCAAAGTGACATAATAGTAACAGAAAACATTTACATCCCACCTCAGCCTCCTACTTGCCTTGTCAACATGTGGGTGCCAGTATTCATCATGTGTTGTCTTGGCTTCTGTGTTGTTTATTTTTGAGAAGAACGTTGGCTTAGTCAGGTACATGGAAGCAGAGCTGATACCAAATGCCTGAGCAATCCTTTGTTGAATTCTCTGTCTCACATCACTGCAAACAACACAACACAGCACATTAAGCGACACACTTCTCTCTTCTCCTTCATTCAGTTACTGCTTCCTCCTCAGCTAATAAATCATGGGGAACCCATACTTTCCCTCTTATTTTGCCTTAAATAAAAGAGATCTACTACACAAAAAAAAAAAAAAAAAAAAAGAAAAAAAGAACCCCCAGTGTTTCAGGTTGGTGGTTTGTTGTTTTGGCTTTTTAATTCTCAGGATATTAAGAAAAAAAAAAAACCTATTTGTCTCCTGTGGCCTAGATGTTAAATTTTTTTTGTGTGAACAGTCTGTTTTCCTGAAAAATGCCATGCATATCTCACTACTACTGAACTACTAATCTTTTCAGTACCTAACAGTTTGAAGTGTTTCACATAGAGATTTTTGATCCAAGTCTGATAACTAGAAGGTTGTATCTTCATAGAGGGTTGCCTCTGAAGCACCTTCAACTATTTTTACACTAATTTTAAACTAACTGATGAAGTTTTTGGCACCACAAAACTCTGGGTTCTCGGTCAACATATGTATTGGTATCATAACCAGATTTTCCTGAAAAATGGATGCAAGATGTCTTTCCCAACTATTTTCAAAGACCCAACCAAGTTATTTCTACCTTGGCTATTCCTGTATTTCTTGAGAGATAGGAAGAAAAGCACAGGATTTTGATTTTTAAGATTATGACAACTAATAATCACATATGCATTACTATACAGAGTTGCTGATATAGCGCCATCCATCTTTCAGGACAGGTATCACTGCATACAGGGCTGGAACAGGGACACCTAGAACTGCCAGACTTAGTTCAGTTAATGCTGCTTTTAAAGAGAAGAGATTTGTCATTAATGAGGAATACCACTGGCAAATCCCACCAGTAAACACACACAGCTAGGATGTATTTAACTTTGAGGAAATTTAAAAACTAGCAAAGAATACGATAAACACAATGAGATGAAATGAAAACATTGGGGTGGTTTTAAATGTAATCCTCTATGCTTCTTAAAATCTTTATATTGTTTTCTCCCAACTTTAACACATTTTTAACTATTATATTAGTCTTCCTTTTCTTCCTAAGTGCTTCAAAAGCAGCACACGAACAAGGTACTCCGAGTAAACACACTTCTAAAGCTGTGCATGGAATTACATGAGCAACCTTTCTGCATCAGACATTTATTTCTTCACTGGGTAGTAGTATTTATCTAGGGAACTTAAACAGTGACTAAAAAGAAGTGTCAGAACTAAAATCAAACTTACAGTGTTAGGCTGTGAAAGTCACCTCTTAAGAACTTCTTCCACAAGTACTAAAAAAATCCTAGATATTCCTTCTGTTCACATCTTGTCCCTCACCAAAAATAAAAATAAGAACACACACGCATTTGATTTTTAGTCTGTCTCACTTCACATTTTTAGGGGTCAATTCAAGCTATTTTACATATGGAATATCAAAACCATTAAATGAAGCTAGAAATGAGATTTTCAGGTATTTACAGGGCTGCATGAACTGAGGTTTCAAGTTGAGAGCTACATAGCAGTAGAGTTTGTAAAATTGGTATTGGGAAAGGATCTACAGGTCCTTCCTCTCATGCCTGTGGGAACCTGATCTTTCTCTGTTTTCTTTCCAAGGAGTAGGACTTCAGCAGAGGCTGCCTTATATTTCCCAAAAAGCATTAAATGTAATTACTCATTTCTCTTAGTCATGAATTGAGGGCAGCTGGCACTTTGAACAACCCAACACAAGAATTAATAGCCTAACCCACAAATACTAAAGCAGCATATTCCCTGGCTCTGAGACCACATGGCCAGCTGCATCAGCCAGCTGGAATATATCTACTCAGAAGTAGTTAGGCCACAGCCTTGACATAACTTTAATCACCATGGGTTGTATTGCTCTCTAAGCAATACTGCTTCCTCTTTCAGGCTGCAAAGAGAAAAATCATACTTCCCAGATGATGTTTGCTTTTTCCTGTTTATAAACCAAACAGGCAGGGGAAGTAGTGAATAGGAAGACACAGTAATGAAGCAGTTGAGGTGACAGGTCTAAAAGAATGACTTCAGGTGCGATCCTGGTCTCCTGGAAGCAGCTGCCTTCAGCTGACCCAGGTAGCTGGTTTTTGGGTGTGGAAGTGTACTGTTGGCCTCTTATTTCCCTGTGCGCTACTGGCTTCAAGCATTACTTTTAATCACAGTAGCTTCTTCGAGCACACAAGGTGCCAAGGGGTGCCAGCCTTGCATTTCTTCATTTGACTCGTGCGCTCCTGCCTTTTCCTTCCCTATGAGCTGTCATCCTGCATATCAGAGCATCACTCAAAAACTTAGTCAAGGCAATCATGGCATATGTAGCAGACTAACCTGAGTTTTATGTGCATAAATAATGTGCCATTCAACAAAACAAATGGTAGACTATGAAAAAGCCCCCCTGATTGTAATGGATCTTGGACTAGGCTTCAAAACACAGGTATTTACCCTTTGCACTTACAGCTGTGCTAACACATAATAGACACACAGGTTTATAGCAGCCACCTTCCTTCAAGAAAGAGGTCAACAGGCAAAAGAATACTGACCACTCACATCAGAGCTCAATGAGCAAGAGGGGTTAACTTGCCTGTAATAGAAAGTTGAAAATAGCAAAGCAAAACTAACTTTGCTTGATGTGCAGGCTGCAAAGTCATAAAATGTTAAGTCTCAAAGGAGAGGACACTTAATCTTCAAGTTTGCGTTCAGTGCTCTCAGACATATTTGTGAGAACTGGGGAACAACCAAATTATTTTTTTAGGGCCTAATCCAGCACATGCTGAAGTCAGTAAAAAGTCATTCATTAATTTCAATGAACTCCAAATCTAACATGGAAAAAACAAGCAAAGAAACCCGAACTCAGGTACTGGTCACTGGAAACAAGACCCCTTTCCAGCAAGCTGTGCTGATAAGAAAAGCCCCTTACAGAGTGACCTTCCTAAAGAGAAATGGTAGGAATAGAAAGGAAATATTCAAGACTACATTTTTTTATTTCCTCAGTGCACACACATGACAAAAATTACATGTAATCTACATTGCTGTATACTGGGTATTCCCAAAGTTCAGGCTTGAATTTAAGAGGTACAACAGAAGCCTACGTAACATATGATAGAACAAGAGTGACAGGCCATCTCAGCCTCTCTACACATCCTATGGATGCTCTTAAATTTTTAAGCATGAAATACTACCCCATACACAAAGCACCATCTGACACGTCCAACAAATGCCCAAGCAGTTTATATTTAATACTATCTATTAAACTGGAAGCACTGTGCCTACAAATATGCACAACACGTATTGCACAGCACTACAGTGCAATAAATAACCCAATTATAGAGAATCAACAGGAAAAGCTAAAAAAAAAAAGCATGAATAAAATGCACTGATGTTGGAATAACCCATATGGCAAAGATTTATTAGAAACAGACTCCAAAGAGCAATACCTTTAAGTGCCTAAATGGTTGCTTGAGTACGTACCATACTGCTTAAAAGCTACGGAAACTCCACGAAATTCCTAGTTGAGCCAGCACATAGATATTATTTCTAAACATAGAGAGTGCTTAATACCCAGTTGCTAATAATAGGGCATCAGTCAAATCAAATATGTAGGCACTATAACCTAGAGAAGAACACAGAAAATACACAAGGGAAGACTGTTTCTCAATGTATGTGAATAACAACCAGGACTCCTCACTTTGTCACATGGAAATGGCTGCAGTTCAAAATAAGTGTAAGCAAGTCACAAAGTAGAAAAGAACTTAATGCTTTGTGTAGGAGGTGGGGGGAATTGAAGTGCAGAACACGAACACTTTCTAGAAAACATTGCATTGCACTGTTGGAAGTAGTGAGAAGGAGATCTTAGCTTGTAGCTTAAGAAGAATGTGTAAAATCCATCCATTTACAAGTTTGGTGCCAAAGGCAGCGTGTGCTGCAGGAGGTAGGTATGTTTTGCAGGGTGCTTTGTGATAATCCTGGTTGCCCTTCATTCCACATCATTAGATTTATCCCACTGCAGGAGTCATCAACAGGTTGACAAACTTGTCCGTGCAAACATGAACTCTGCTTCAAACTCCATAAGGTATCTTGAGTCCCTCTTTGCAACAGTAAATTAAACACTACACATGGGAATCAAATGTTTACCTTGCAATAGGAGCAAAGGCATGACTTCTTTTAGAGATCAAAGTGTTCCCTAGAATCCTGTACAGTATGCATCTGAACAGACGCATCTGTGTACTTCAGCTCATTCTGTGCCCAGCGTATGCCAAGTACAGCACGTAGCTGTTCTCAAAAATAGTATAAAGTCACTTTTTAGCCTATAAAAACCTCTTCTGTACAGCCTGATTTCCACTGACCTGGCCATTTCAACATTTATCAATATCAGGACTACAAGTTTTTCTTTCCATTCCCTTTCCTACTCCAGATGCAGCCTACATAGTCTATTGGTAAAATACTTAAGGACAAACACATTGCGTGTCATGTAAATCACGTGACAAGATCAGTCAAGGTTCAGCTTAGAAGGTGCAATCAAGGGAGGAATGAATGAGCCCAGAAATTCTGGCTACCTTGGATCCAGTACAGCAAGAGCCACGTTGTTCCCTCAGCCACTTCTCATACGCACCCAGAAGTGGGAGCCTCGGGCAGGAGCCTCCCATTCTTGATCCCAGCCCACTCCTTTATACTTTTTCCTCCACATCCCCCATATATCAAAAACTGTTGGGAGAGGTCTGCTGTACTGTAGCTACAAAGATAATACTGCTTTATGCTGGAGAATGTAAGCATTCATTTTCATAAACTCAGTAACTATTCTATCATTCAAACTGCGTAGGGTGTACCCTGGCTCTGATCAGATGCACTAATCAAAGCTCTATAGCAATAAATATTTGAGTATAGCACCCAGCCAACAATGGAAGTAACAAATGAATCCCTCCCAGAATTTGTCAGCAGCAGTCCTTGTACATTCGCACAGAGTCACTGGATAATACCAAAATGCATAGGCTAGACTCAGGGAAAGGCAGAACAGAACTCCCCAAAAAGAGCATACGACCACCTTCTATAAAAACAGTTACTAAAGTTTATTTTGGAGTAACAGCGATGAAGAGGAAAAAAAGCCAATGAAATAGCTAGAAGTCTAAGGAACATATAACTTAAGAGAAAGGATGTTCACTGGATTGCAAAGCTGCCAGCTTAATGTATCAGCAGCATGAGTAAAAGAACTGAGTAAACCAACTAAAAGTACCACAGAAAAATTTCTGTAACATAGCTCTGCCAGCCCAGCAAAAACAATGCACTGTTAGGAGTCACTGCGAAGTGCGATTCAAGTACAGTGACAGGAACACTCAAAGCTTTGTAAAACTACACAGCTTTTCTAGCCCACTTGTCAGCATCTCCGCACCGTTCCCAGTGAAAAGCAGCAAAGGCAGTAGAAGCAGACAAAGCAAGGCTCTTCTACAGCCAGAAAGTTTTAACAGAAATTACACATGCAGAACAAATAAAGGGAGGAAGCAAACTCTCAGCTCTTCCTCTGCTCTTTTTATTTCTCTACCTTAGTAAGTTTTAAGATTTTTTGGAATAAATCTTTGACAGTGCCGTTTTCTGCTGAAGTCACAACCCTTAAACCAAGCATCCAGATTTAAAGGTCTCTCTTCTGGATAAAGACGCATCTATTATGTGAAACAAGAGGAATTGCTGTAATATGCTTGGCAGATGGTAGTTAGAGCATCAGCCTAGAAACCGTAATTGATTCTGAAGCAACATAATTTTGACAGAGACAGTTTAGAAACCAGCCTCCTGGCTCAGAATGCCTACAAAGATTTGTTATTGTTGCAATCAGTAATACTTAGACATGAATTATCTTTAGTTATTTCTCTCAAGAGTGTATTTTTAAACTGACCTTGGTAGGTAAGTGAAAGTAATGAAGACAAGTGCTCCCAAGAATAGCATAAAATCATTCATTAAGGACATAATGTACTACAGTCCATGTTAAAGCAATAATATGAACAGAAGCATTTAATAATATATTTTGTATTAGATTCATATCCAGCAGACTGAAACATCCCCTATATTGGCATGAAATGCCAATAGAAAATTGATATTGACTAGCAGCTGTCTCATCTTAAAGTGTAAGGATCAGAAATCCATAAAAATTATTGAAAAACTGAGTATTTCTGTTAATGTGAAACAGAAATATTCTTTAGAAAGACACTCCCTCCATACATTCAAGTTATTTCTATAGATTCTTTGATCTTCTACAGGATGGAAGACAAAATGAAGACTATTCTCAAAATATGCCCCACTATCTTGGTGAGGCAGAGACTATATATTTTCTTTATATAGTCAGAGTTCAATAATAATCAAAGCAGCATCTCATTTTTGTGAGCTTGGGGGCAGAAATAAACACATTTCAAAGAAGTTCATAGATGAAGACAACAGTATCTAAAATAGTTGTCAAATAAAAATATTAACTAAGAAAGCTTATTTCAAGACAAACAAAATTACTATACTAATAAAACTAACAAACCTATTTGGTTACTTAATACTACTTTCACCACTAGAGGGAGGTCACATTCCTTCACAAGGGCAAGAAAAAAGGCAAAAAGAGTTAAAATTTCAAGCCAGGTACACTTTAAATTATGAGAAAGCAACTGAAATGCACAATTAAAGATTTATTGTGTCTAGTCAACAAAGAATGCTTGTTCCTAAACTTTGGCCACACACCTTCACAGACACCTGGAACTCGTTATATTTGTTATCTTCGTTAAGTATATGAGCAGGTCTACAGGAAAGCTAAAAGCATCGGATGCCAAAGCTATTACATTATAGTGCTATTTCATATTCTGGCTTCTTAGGGGGAAGTATGCTCTGCTTCTCTAGCCAGAACATTAGTAATTTGAAGTCCTTCCACTTCCTGCTTTATCATTTTTAATGTTTTGCTACATTTCACCCAAAAAAATCCCCAAGTTTCTAATGTAATAATAGCATAGGATTGTCTTTATCATCTAACACATCACCTCCTGGATAACGTGTGAAACAGGAGTTGTAGCTGTGATGTAAAATCCTTTAGGATTAATGTTCCAGCAAATAACCACAGAAGTCAGGTGAAGCAGCTCTCCTTGCTTGCGCATCTGCAGGGCTGGCATCAGCCCCTTATACAGAAAGGGACATGCGTGGTGCTGCTATCATCATGATTACACTGACACCACTGATACTGTCCTGACATTGGCAATGCAGCTAAGTTCAAAGCAGCAGATGTTATTTATCAGGTAGCCACCGAAAGGTCCTTTTACTTATTTTCCTCAAGGCATCTTAATTCTCACAGAGATTACTATTTTGAGCTGCAAATTCAATTGTATGTCTGAGTCCAAAGGACAATCCCCTCCCAACCTGCACTCTACAAAAAGTAGTTATGTTTTGTGGTGCATTCAGCAGTTATTGAAAGTGTTTACTGATATAATGCAAAATCCTCTTCTGTGAAGATGTCTTGAATTTTGTCCCCAAAGTACCTGAAAAATTAAACATCAGTCTAAAAGAAGAGTTGCTGAATCAGACTGAGTAATACCAAGATGTATTCTCACCCCCATCTGTGCTTTACCCACAATCAATAAATGAAAACACAATACAAAAAATTCTGCAAATGCTTTTGAGCTTGATGTTTTGAAAGCATCACTCAAAGATTAAGTGTTAAAAGATTAAAGGATCAAGGTGCAACAACTGATAATGGAATTCCCCAGGCATGAAAAAAAATCCCCTCCCATATCATGAGTTAAGCACACAGATTCAAATTCTTTTTTAAAAGTTCAGGCTACTTGATTTCTTCCACTGCTGATAAACTAGACTATAACTGTGAAAAAAACACTAATATTTACTGGTGCAAGAACAACTCTGAAAATAAAGGTAATGGTAATTTTCAAAGAGCCCAATTCAACAAGAGATGGGTTTTTATGCCACAAAAGATTTTTAACTGGTCACGGAAGCTGTGGTGAATCTAAAACTGCTACCATTTGCCATTACAAACCCCAGCCCACAGAGCTTGAGAAATGTGAAAAGGCACTGAGCACCGAAGGTGTAGGAAAACAAGAGGCAGCAAGCCACAACTCCATTTTACCTGTACAGATTAACAAAATGCTTCCCCAGTGAAAGAGCTCCAGAGTGCAAGTCCAGAATCGATGCCTGAGAAAGGAAACAAAAAAGTAGGAACAAGAGCATGAAAAGGTTTTGTCATTATTTAACTATGACCTTTAATAACTGCCCCAAGTTGGCTTTCACTCTCCACACCCTCCCAAGTAAAAACATCAGTTTCTAGTGTTTGGGTTCACAATACTAATGCTTACTTTACAACTACAAACCTCCCTCAGTTTGCTGAATAGATGCACAAAATATTAAGATACCATGAATAAAGTACAGTACTGCTATTCCCGATATTCAGATCCAGCGTACAGAATTGCCAGAGTCTTCCTCTGTGGGCTAAGGGTAAGACACTGTGTTCCTGGATCCCTTCTTGAAGACATTTCCCTTCCACACAAAGATGACTAATTTTCCAATATTTGTGAAGCGCTCAAATAGCAGCACTAATATTTATCTTGCCCAACATTTGTTATTAAAACTTCTCCTTCACCATGAGTTCCTGTATACGTCTCATATTTAATACAGCCATAAAAGTCTGTTTAAAAGAACAATTATAATTCTAAGGCTTACTAGAGCCAAACTTTCTTTTCCCCATTTCTAAACCACTATAAAAGAAAACCAAAGAGCAAAAAGTTTTTACATATGTAAATTCAATCCATTTCTTCATCCAATTCAAGCCAGACACTTCTGCTGAGCTCCAGACCAAGCTAAAAAGAGCAGTATTCAGATTTGCCAGGACAGAGAGCTCCCCCTCAGGATGCTAAATTATTTCTCTAAATTGAATAAAGTACACTTTTATAAGTCCCTTGCTGTCCACAAAATACATGTTCGTTTTGAATCAGTTAATAAGTATTTAAAAATATGACTTCTTAATAGCAGGGTTTTTTTTATACTGGAAATATCAAGTAGCAACAGTTAATCAACCTGACCAGCACCGAAGTAATGACATCTTTGATATACAATATCTGGGCAAAAGCACTCATCTTGGAATTTGGCATTTCTTGATGCACCACATACCATTCACTTTATTCTAGCAAAATCCAAACCATTATACCACCACTAGGTAAGCTGCCTGGAAAGAACGGTAACTTCCATCTTACCAGCAACAGGAATTTCTGGGCATGGTTGAAACAGTACTGTTTGAAGCCACCTCGTATCTCTACCCAAATGCAGACAGGCTGGTGAATGAGCAAATCACCACTGCACAGATGTGTTAGAGCTGCAATGCCAGGCTAGCAACACAGCTGCACATCCACCTCTAGTCTCAAGGCACTTTTCTCCCTCCTCCTCCGGATCATGTTGGAGCAAGACACCCATGACAATCTCTCAGCAAAAGAAAATGGCTGCAGGCTTAATTGCTCAGAGCTTCAGAGATGAATCAGGGAACTCCACAAAAGTCTCCTTTTAAAAGAGACAGTAACAACCTTCTTTTAATAAACCCAAATAATTTCATTTACCCTTGAACAAAGCTTTAACAATATATCAAGTAACAAGTTATTCATAGCATGAGCTTTTCAGACCTCTCCTTCCCACCGAAGTTCTCAAAAATTCAGAGGACTGTTATGGAAAACAAGTAATCTCACACTCATGCAAGAGCAGCTCTCATAATAAGCTTTATTCAAGCTTCAGAAGCAAAATATTTTCATTTATTGGTTTCTGGTTCTGTACAATAACCTAAGCTACAGCTGGAAAAGTAAAACTGCTCCCATGTAGCTTAAAAAAAAAAGTGGTTGTGATCATGCTAAAGTAGATTACAAGGAGAAGTAGCAGGACGCATCTGAAAAGATTAAATTAATTTTTTTAAAAAATTGCCTTTCAAATACTTCCAACATGCTTTCTAAATGTACACGTTTCTTCTCACTCATCGAGCACCAGATGATTACTGTTGGGAAGATCCAAAATGACCAAATGAATCAATAAAAGACACCCTCCAAGAACTGTACGTATTCATTGCTGAAAAGATAATAGCTACGATATAAAGCCCAGAAAAGCCAGATGAAGAAGACTGAAAAGGGATGTGGAAAAGAAAGAATATTATTCAGGGTTGTTTCAGACAGAGGAAAACAACCAAATGCCAAATATAGACAGGGACTTGATTACACATGAGCACAGAGCTATTTGTTTAACAGCTACCTTGGAAAGAAATTGAAACACATTTATTTTGGCCTCTGCCATTTTAGAACATTAAACATTTTCAGCATCATTTCCCACACTGAGGAGAATACCTTGGTGGAAGCCTGTGTCAACACCATTACTTCAAATTCAGCTATCTGATCAAGGGTCAGCTTGCACTTCAGGCCAGTGTTCCCAGGCTGAAAGCTCTACAAAGTTTATCTAAAGACGGCAGGGACACTGCAAACGCATACCCACACAGCTACTTCCAAGAGACTGTTTAACAGAACTACCCCAATAAGCTGGTTTACAGATCTTCTGTAGAAAGGAAAGTGGACTTCCTTTAAAAAAAAAAAAAAAAAATCAAGCACAAATATATGTTCTTATGGACCTTCAGTGTTGTTAGTCCCACATTCTCCACCCTCTCACTGCTGAAAGGATTGAAAAAGAACATGCAAGTAACCTCCATTTCTCAGCATATGGCAAAAAGGATAATTTCCCCATCTTGCAAAGAAAAGGCCCTGCCTTTGATCCTCACTAAAAGGGATTACCAACTATTAAATATACATTCAGTTCTACATCAATTCCACCTTCTTCCTCCACCCCCTAAAGTTTTAAGTTAGATTTTTAAAGAAAGCAGCAGACACATTGCCCAGGAGAGAAAAAAAAAATGCAAAACTTACTTCTACTTGTCTACAGAGAAGCTGGTAGAGCTCAAAAAACCCCTTCCCCACTCCTGTGGGAACACTCCCACACTCAAGGTGAGAAGAGGGAAGGGCAATGGAGGTTCTACCTGGCCACTGGTTCCTGGGCAGCATCAAACTGGCCACCCCTGCAGGCACGCTTATACAGACTCTCAAAACCTTTAAATACCCTTCCCTACTTGAATCTTGAGAGTAGAGGGGCCAGGGTTACATTCTTAAGGTAACGCCTCTTAAAAGTTACACTGATTAATTATGAAACACAAGTGTAACCTATCTAATCTATAAATCACTCAGCTGGAGTCACGGGTTATTACTGTAGAAATTAAATACAATATTCAGCTACGGTGTCCAGTACAAGTTTACAGTAGATATGAATTGGATACAAGCAGTTCCTTTCCAGTTTCCTAGAATTAAGACCAGATCATCACACCAACACAACACATAAGTACACATAACACATAACAACAACACATAAGTAAAGTGAAAGACACTGCCAAGCATGTCTTTCACTCCTCACAAGTATATGTTTCCTATGTGCTATCAGGAGACTAATAGGAAGGAAGAAAACGCGCAGCCTGTAGTAGATGTATGAGACAGGGCAAGTATTATGTAGAGGCTTTATCTTCTCCCAGGAAAATGCAGAGCTAACAGCATTCTGAGGACTTCAGAGTTTGGTTGGGAGGGCTGAAAGCAGAATAAGGAGGGATATGGTCTGCAGAACCACTGTTCTATGCATGGGTCAGTGCCTCTGCATCAGCAACCCTTGTGTGGTACCACATATAGGTTGTTTGCTTCTCCCAGCAATTAAGAAATTTCATTTTCCCCTGCAAAAGGGAGGTCTAGGCAGCTACTCCTGCCAGTTTTGCTGCACCACAGGAGTGCAGCTGACTGGCTGCACCAAGGGATTTCTTTTCTGGGGCTTCTAAATAAATGCCAATAGATCTGATAGTAAATGAGTCTTTTCATTTACACTAGAGAGATGTTATGACGGCAGCATCTACAAAGACGTGAATGAATGAGTCATGACTAAAGTGGTAACGCAAACAGGGGTAGTGTGCAACAAAATATTAGGTAGGGAAGAAAGGGAAATGTCATTATCTTTATAATGAAGAAAAAAAATAAGCTGAGGCAAACATCAAGAGAATCAACGCAATTCACATTCCGTGAATAAGGAGTAGAGCATAAAACTATTTTACCGAGACAGAGATGTACAACAAGGGAAAGCAGTGTAGTGGTGAAGATGCTTGCTCCTGTTTGGATTCTGTTGAAAATTAGACTAGAAGATTACAATGGCCTCTTCTAGGCTCACTCTGTGTATGTGCATAAATAAAAATAAATCTAGGAAAAATTACAAAGTAAGATAAGAAATAAAGCTCAGCATGACAACTGGGGCATGACTCCTGGGAGATTTCAATAATTCAGATGTTTGCCAGGACTTTGTCAACACAAAGGGACAGAAAGGGAAACAAGGTTTTGTGCTATACTTCAGTCCTCCAAGGAAGCAGAAAGCAAAGGGAGAGAACTGACAGTCACAGACCACAAGTTTAGGTCTTTTAAATTAAGTTATATCCAGACACACAGACACAAATCCACTTCTGTGAATTCAGAATACAAGAAGCCTGGCAGGCACACACACAAAAAAAATATCAGTCATGCTGCTTAAAAAGGGAGTTAAGAAAATCAGAGAGAATGAAAATGCAGTCTGCATCCCACTAGAAATATGGAGAAGTTTTATTTGGAATAATGGAGAGACCAAAGTGGCCAAAGAAAGAATTGAACAGAAACAAGGAGTTATTTAAGGAATTTGTAAGAAAAAAAAAAAAAATCAGTCTTAGAACAAACATAATTGGACAGAATTATCCAAACACTCTAAAGCCTAAGAAATTTAAAGCAACAAGCCAGACCTAATCCAACAAGCTTGAAGCTTGAGAGGCATACAGGCTAGATGAAGTAAGACTAAACATTCTGTATGCTTGTAGATAAGAGATTTGAAAAGATGATAAAAGGCTCAAATGAAGAATGACAGTTTCATCTATACATCATCAGCACACATCCTGTCAGTATTTAATGATATCTGGGAGCCAAGATAGCACTATTGGGAAAAAATTCACCCTGTGATATGGGGAATACAAGCATGCACAGAGGAGAAAGAGGTATAAAAGAAAGTAGGCAAAGAGACTGTATTTAAAGGCTTCTCCTAAACATGATCTCCCAGGAACAGAGCGGTCAGCTCTTGCTTCTAGCATCTTTCAGTGTTTATACACTATTTTGGAGAAGGCCTCAATGCAGTACTACACAACTTTCTTCTTGCACCTTTCCCTAAGGAGTAACAGCATGCAATAGCTTTCTCACATTTACAGCCTATGAGAAATGTGAGAAGGCTTGGATCAGAGCCCAGAATTCTCAATGGACAACAGATTTCTTAACAGACTTATCATATTGCAGCAGTAGAATCTTCTTTTCCCCCCCATATCCCTCCCCTGTAAAATAAAACCACAGTGATGCTTCCAAAATCACGTAGATTATAGATTTATATTTGTCTGATAGTCTGACTTGTTGTCCAACTAAGCCAGCTCAGGACCCCTGCCCAGCCCCAGGCAGCATTCACCTCCCCTCATGTCTCTTCCAAGCTTTCTCCATCTCAGTTTCCCCAGTTCCCTGACCCTCAGCTAGACATTAGCTTTCTGTGGTCCAAATCCATGAAGCTGTGTTATACACTGCCCTTCTAATCCCTCCTTGTGGAAGTCTAATGAAAAATCACATGTAGGTGCCAAAAGAACAGGATAGGAAACCCACTTGACAGCACTAATGGCGGGAGTTAAGGCATAGGTCCCAAAAGGCAGAGCCATCTAGGGGAAGTCGCAAATTATGCAACCACGGAACAAAAAAAAAAAATCCAAGAGATCCCGACAGAACTGAACAGAGAATGTTAAATCTTTTAAATATATTGTTTCAGATGGGCAGCACTGCTTAAGTTTCTCGGGTTATATTTTTTGTAGGTCTTTCAGCAATTACAAGGATGATAAAGTCTTATTTTTTCATGTAAACCTTTCTCCTTTTCTGCTAATACACGCCTTAATTCAGCAGAAGCCTAAAGAAGTGGTTGCGTTTACAAGTACTCAAGAAACAGTTTCTGTTCATACACAAAAACATCCTGAAAACAAAGATAGGAGGAATGAAATTAAGATAAACATGCTTGTTAAAGAGAAACGGGTTTGCTTTCATTATTAAAGGTCAAAGAGTATTAGTCAAAGGTCTACTTAAGACATTACATGGTATTTTTGTCACTACACAAACCCCAATCTTTATGTGATGCTGTGAACAACTGTAATTTAGTTTCAGAAGCCAAAGTTGTGCAGTTCTATAGTAACTGTTCCCAGATGGAGAAGACAAAATCAGTTTGAGAGGCACTAGAAATAACTAGTCAGAATAATAGGAAATATGTCAACTGTATTGTAGAAGTCACATATTATATTGCTAGCAGAAGTATTAATGGGAGATAAAGTAACTTTCCTTCCATTCAGACTTGGAAAAGATTTGTTTGGAAAAAACCCTCTTATCTCCTCTCACCCCGAAAATGCATTTATAATCTTGCCTTGGCAGTAAAAGAATGTAAAAAAAGTAACAGGACACTGCTCACCCCTCCATCAGATCCTCCCAAGGACAGTCCCCTCTCTGCTATTCTGCAGGCAAAACAATAACCTCAGATGAGAACTGAAGTCTGATTACTTTGTCCTTTAATGTCATTATTTACAACATTAACTCTTCACTAAGAATTATTTGATGCATCAGATATAACCCAATTGAGTTGGCAAGAGAAGCTGCCGTTTAGTTGAAAATCTCGCAGCCTGTCATGAAAATAAGTATCTAAGTTGCAGAACATTTCCAAGCTTGTAGCCCCCTTCCATAAATCCCCAAAACACCTCCAAAAACATTGTCTTTCAAATACATTTTGGCCAAGTAAGATTAAACATAAAAACCCACAGATCTTTATTCTTCAGGACAGTACAAATAAACACGTACAATGCTGTATCAAAATCAGGAGCCCAACTGAATTTGAAATCACAGAGTGGCTGGCCTGACTAGTGACCAAAGCACTTACATGAGCTGCGTATCGCTCCAAGCATTACATTGATATTCCCCACTTCCGTGACTATCAAGTGCAAATGAAACTCAAAGCGGCTGATAACTTCAAGTGCGTAATTTGAGAGTGTCCCCTACTATTTGATTAAAAGTTACCTCTTAGTGTTCATGGAGGACAACAGGGTCAGCAATAGCTCATAATTACCCAGAGACTCAGCTGAAAGGAGGCCTATGTTGTTTTGTTCTCTTTTTAAAGGCCAAATGGAACAGAAGGCCAAGTGAAAAATCCTTTAAAACTTATTTAATTTTCCTTTTTTCTCTACCACGTTCATGCCCCACAGAGCTAGGCAGACTCTGCATGAGAGAGAACTGCCTCAACTACAGCAAAAATGGAAAATGGCTTTAAAAAAAAATATTAATGTTTTAACCAGTTTAACCCATCCTCCTTCAGCTAAAGAGCTTTGTACTACACCTTACTTTAATGACAGTGTCCCAGTGTTTAAGCGCTCGTAAAAGTTAAGAGCTAAAAGAAAAATTACCTACGGATTCTTTCAGCTTCTTCCCTTGTGATTACTGCATCGGTTACACCTCTTCCACACTTTCTAGGAGTGCACCCTGGAACACAAAGAAGAGAACAAAGAAAATATCATCTTTTAAACAAGGCTCAAAACAAATCTCTATTAATATCCTCCTACTCCCCTTTCAGATTCACAATATTCAGAAAGGATATTGGCAACCTCAGAATATTTTAGATCACTTAAACTACAAGCAAGTTGCATGTCCCTTTTGATGTGTTTTGCACTGCAATCAGAAAGAAGACAAGCCAGCCAATGTCACTGTGGCTTCTGCACAGATTGAAGTCCCCAGGACTCATCTAAGCTACATCACTTTCCCTGCTATGGCTGGTTGGTGTAATTCAGGGGAATTAGACCAACTAAACTGACAAGTTATTTTCTGCTACATCCCTAACACAATTCAACAGAATGGAGGCGATCTAAAAGGAATGAATCTCAACACCTGGAGTAGCACAGCCACTGGAGATGCGGCTGTCACACATGACCCAGAGCCTCCAGTGCTTAGGTTAAGCAAAATGCACAGCAATACTGTGCCTTCAAAAACAAACTACTTTTCCTGTTGATCTGAAGATAATTCTTAGAAACCTTAGGTTGTTTGTTAGCAGTCTTCACAAGTTTGTTACAAACTTTGGGATTAAATCTGACTTACTGATGTTCCTTTGCACGTCTGCTGCTTCAAGCTAGAGAAGACATCCTTTGTTTAGTAAGGCAGTATCAGACACATTTGTATCTCAATGTACATCTAGCAAGACAGACGGATCCAGTGATTCTTCCCCTTCTTCCCAAGTGCAGTAGTGAAAACAAAAGTTCCTGTTTATATAACTGGTCTCTGAAAGGAAGATGATCTTAGATGAAATCATCTTACCCACTCTATTCTAGCCTTCGGACAAGCAGGGCAAGAACTGGAAAGCTCAGTAGTGCCACATGGATCCTCCCATCTCAAGCTGACAGTTCCAAAGTCAGCCAAGACCTCTAGCAACTAAACCCCCTTAATATCACAGGTCCATATACAAAACATTTTCTATTACAGTCCAAGTGAATCTTCAACTCAGACAAAGGTCCAGCACACACCACTCTTCGGTACAATACATAACATGAAAAGATTTCTGTCCCAAACCCAAACACTCTCAACAGGATAAAGAACCTCAATTGCCCTGGAGAAAAAAAAGCGCAGAAGACAAGACATACTTGGATGCAGACTGCAGTGGACATTAACACCAGAGCACCACCACGCTAATAAGAGAAGAGAGAGAATGCCACTCAGATGGACAAAAGAAAAACTGAAAAAATTGGTTAGAACACAAACAGTTCAAGCCATGAAGATGATACTACTAACCACAAGGGTTCCTGAATAAGTATAGGATCTTTATGTAGTATCAATACATGCTAGTTCATGTATTAACACAAAGAACTGAATGTAAAATGTCTCAGTATTCAATCCTAAATCATGTGGGTTTTTTTAACAGAAATTCCTGCAGTCAGGCACTAAGAACCATTGTATCTGTCCACTGGAAAAGCAATGGTAACGTAAAAAAGCAGTGAATTTGAGTGTTCCAACCATACTGCCACATTTCCGATTTGCTCAGTTTTGCTCCCCCTCAAACACACGAGTCAAAAGGAAGCAAACATTCTGTATGAGGTGTCTATACAAATACACCTTGAAGGGCAGCTTTTTATATGAGACTTTGCGCAAAAGTGTCTTGAAGCACACAGCTTGGACAGATGATAAAAAAGGCTCTAAAATTCATGGCTAAGAAATCTAACCATTTTAAAAGCTCATGGAAAAAAAAGTCAGCAGTTAAAAGCTCCAGGTAAAGAATATATGAAAGTTCTCATGAAATAAGAAGTCTGGTCCCCAACAGTCTTCAGACAAGAAGAAGAAACAAGATCAATTCTGAGCCACCAGAGACTGTGGGATGTCACCCTTGGCACTTTACTGGGGAAGATCCACATATAGATGTAAAGCCACAGAAAAGTTGGGATGATTGTATTTTCTGACATCTGCCAATACACTTGCTGTTGCTGAACTGAGCTCCTCTTCAAGGATTATTTGCTCATCAGAACACAAGGCGGCAGGGGGGGACTCCTGGAAATAAATCAATCAATTCACCCAAGCAAGTCAAAAGCATCAGTCTACTCTGATCAAAAGCAATTAATGATGACAATGGCCATGGACTGACAGGATGAACAATTTTGCCACAGCACAGTTGCTTTGTAGGAATTTCCCCTCCATCTTACCAGATATGTCCTGATACAGCCCTCTAATTACACCAGCGTTTCAAGAAGAGAAAAGCAATGAGAAAGACACATGTGGGTGAATAGGCTGAGTACTGACAACAACAACATAACAAATTATATATACTTCTCCCTTGTATGAACTATGTTTAAATTGAAGTCAAAAGCACCCACAGCAAGAGACTAAACACAGATCAAGGTCAGGAAACCACCTGGATTACAACACCCAGATAATTCATTGCTTTTCCTGACTACCCAGCAACAATTCACCGAAGTCTGCTCCAGACTCAGATTCCAGGAAGCGCACACTAAGTTATTTGAAGATGACCTAGGAAACCAGGAGCCTAAAATCACGCTAGAGATTACATTCTTAAGCATCCATTTATCAGTGCTAGCACAGAACCCAATAGTGTGACAAGAATGAACCAGAACCACTACTCCTCCAGATCACTTTTCTCCTCTTGACCCTGTGACCTAAAGAAATGAGCAGAATCAAAGCATACCATTCATCAGAAACCATAGTGACTTGATATAAAAAAAGCACCATAAAAATTAAAAATGGTGGCAGCAACCCAGAGGTGCTTTGCATATTAAAGAACAACACTTTGCAATGCAGTACCAGCCCCAAAGGTAGAGAATTCAAACTAACAAAACCCCACAAGGGTGGAAAGTTGTTCTAAGTTACAAATTTGGGACAGAAGGGCATGGAGAGGAAGGGGGCTTCTGTGTCGTGTTTCAGACACATTGTAAAATCCCCTCTGCAATCAGGAACCTTAGGCACAGTTTTTGTGGAAGTTTTTGCATTTTTCTATCTCAATTCCAGGAACCAAGAATCTGCAAGTTAAACACTGCAGAGCTTGCAATAAAAATGCAAGCATTGGAAACGCTATATTCTTTTGGAGCATTTGACCCAGCCCTTCTGAAAAGCAACAAGTAGTAGCCAGCAAACACTGCAAACTATTTCTTGTCTGCTCTAACAAAAACATACACATTTTGTGTTGCTGTTCTTTAAAGGCTCCATCACAGATTCAGCAGTGGCAGATTAAAATCAGTTACTCACTTGTGAATGCCAGGCTGAAGAGCATCTCAGAAGCCAATTGAGAAGGATGAGACATCTCTGCCTCCAGGCTAGCAAACACTCACCCAAAGAGCAAGACAGATGGCTGAGGCAACAGCACCCAAATTTAAACTCAGATGCATGTAAAAAAAAAAAAAACAAAACCAGAAAAAAAAAACAGCCAGAGGAACCAATTTGGGTTCCCGGAATTGGAAAAAACAACCTTACCAAACATTTCATTAGTAACTAAGATCCACGCAAAGATTTGCGGAACAATAATCATCAACCACAAATCACATAACGTATACTCCACACTGTACCCACCGTTGTGCTGGGTGTAAAAGATGTCAAAAATGTTACAAAGCACAAGTTTGGATATCAGCAGTACACTTTTTTTCTAGTCGACTGAGGCAACAGGCTGACAGAAGAATGAGATTTTCAGGAGTTCAGAGAAAGCTGAACACAGAAGAACAAGGAAGCTCTCTGTTAATAGAGACAAGAAAAGGGGAATGACTTTCCTTCTGCCATTGAGAAGGTCTCTAATGCTTGAAAGGCAAAGAAAATTGTCATAGAGATAAGGGAAAGCTGATGTTCAAGGAGAGAAGGTAGGAAAGAGTAAATTTAAAGGAGAATTTCAATACTCCAGGACAAACCTTTCTAAGTAGTTTTCTTTGTACAACATTCTGCAAAAAGGACACTAGCAAAAACTTTTGATTTCAGAAGAGATTTGTGTTCTCTATGTCCAGCTGCAAGCCGCAGCATAGATCTCACCCTTTTGGAAAGGTTGGTACAGGATAGTCCAGATTTGGCAAAACTCCAGTGTTACCTCAGACAATTGTTACATGTTTAGGGTCTCTGACGAAGAGCCGGCAAAGACACTACTGGAAGGAAGCAGGAGGTGTTCTGAAGGCAACAGCAGAAGCTTTTCCAAACTGAAAAGAAAAACAAGAAAGAGTCCAGCATAAAGTCAGTCAGGTAACAACTGTAAGGCACAAACTCTGGATGAATGCTAAGGAAAAATCACAACTGTTTGTTTGAAAACAATTTTAGCATTAAGAAATGTGTCATCTTTGTCTTGGAGACATAGAAGCACTGCAGTGTTAAAAGCGTGCTTGGCAAATCTGCACTCAGGAGAAATCCAGTTTAGTGCCCAGTAGCTTCCACAAATTTGTGCTTAGTAGACACAAAATCATTCACTTATCCAGTAAGGCTCTCTGCTTTGGATCCAAGAGGTTTTTCAATCAAGGTGAAGGGGAAGCATACCAAAGCATGCAAAAACACAAGTACTCCCTATGGTCCCTGTTCCTTTAAAGAATGTAACACAGGGGTCCAAGTGCCTAAACTGCAGCTTTATCTTCTATTTAAAGTGGTGCTTGTCCAAGCACCATAAGCTGCTCAAACCGGGCTGATTCACGCAAGGGATAAAAGCCCCATCGTGATGCTCCCCTAATGCAATCCATCTCAAAGCAGGACAAGAGGAGGCAAAGATTTATTGGATGCCTCCCCCATAGCCACACCAGCAGTCTGGGTGCTAGACCTTTTCCTCTGCTGCTCACAGACTTCTCTGCTTTCCACATCCACTGATCTAGTCTCTGGAAACGCAGCTTAAAGCTGTCTCCTGGGCAGTGATCATGGATGCTTTGTACACAGACACAGTATCTCAACACACATAAAAGACTACGCAGGAGTTTCATCAGACACACTAGTAGCCACAGCAGTTTTAAGTAGTTAACCATGTCTCAAGACAGCAGAAATAGCCAAGGTCTGGTCACAGGGTTCAGAACACAGAGGAGACTGTGCTAACAGAACACCCTATCTTCTGCAAATATAATAAGTTAAGTGCTTGGCCTTTGAAAAATAACACATTTTATTTCTGTGCGAAACAGGTATACTGGCAGGCAGCGCAATGGAAATAAAACCACTGCTCTGTGACACCAACTACCATATAATTTGAAGCAAAATAGAAGCTCAGTTGCACTAGTTCAGTTTGAAGCAGGGACAGGTGCATAAATAAAAAGCACATCTTAGCTGTGGAAACTTTACAGCTGAGCATCAGACACCGAGTGATGATAGGAATGTGCTCCTTCTGACACAGAGCCAGCAGCTGTGAATGCCAAGCCAGAGTGAAGACTGAGAATGAAAAGCTATTGAGTGATAAAGATTTCCAACAAAGTGACTAAAGCTCCGGAGCTGAATCCAGTTTGGCAGAGAACTGTAATCCGCATTTACCGCCTCACTAAGCTATCAGTAACGTACACACTGAGCTTTGACAGGACAGCAAGGCTCAGCAGCTCACCACCACCCTCTTGCGGGCACTGAGCAGGAGACAAGAGTTCAAAAAGAGGAGCAAAGTTCATTATCACAGCATGGCTTCAATTAACCACTTAACAAAATTGACATTCACACATTTCTAATACCACTGATCTGTTTCTGAAAACATTAAACAGGGGAAGGGGAACACACGTAAAAATATCTGCTAAAACCCAAAATCACAGAATGGCAAGGGTTGGAAGGGACCTCGGAAGACCATGCAGTCCAACCCTCCTGCTAAAACAGGTTCACCTAGAGCAGATTGCACAGAACATCATCCAGGTGGGCTTTGAATATCTCCAGAGAAGGAGACTCCACAACCTCCCTGGGCAGCCTGTTCCAGTGCTCTGTCAAAGTCAATCACATAAGTTAAGAAGCAGCAGCAAGTAAACAACTAATTAGAAAGTCGGAATACACACTCACGCAAGATGGACTCCCCTTTGGTCCTCCTGGGTTGACATCAGCCACATCAACCATTCTCCTACAAAGCCGAGAGAGGTCACACTTCACCCTGCAGTGAGCATTCGTGGAGCTTGCTCCCCATGACATCACAAGAATAGAGAACTCGTTCATCCCTCTTCCTGGGCAGAGATATCCTTGAAGTTCCTGCCTTCCTTATGATGGAAAGAATAACTGATGGGGTTGCCAAGACCACATCAGAAAATTCCCCTTTCAAACCAGGGAAGGGAAAATAAGGTTTTGTTGGTTTGAGGAGTTTCTTTTGATAAGCAAATGCCCCTAGTAGCAGAATGCAGAAAGTTTTAGCCTTAGTTCAGTCATAACTACCACATCTGTGGCAACACTGGCTGCAGAGTTTTCTCTGGCCTTGCAATGCAAATAAAGCCAGAAGCAGTTTCTCCTTGTAGTAACTACGACAAGTTAAAACAGAGAATATGTTTTCATGTGCTCAGTCAAAAAAATCTCCCTACTCAGGAAGTTCTCTTGCCTAACAGCAGTTTTCTTGCCCTCAGTAACATTTGGGATGAATCCTTCAAAACCCTATCAAACAAGATACTGCAACAGCAGCACTGAGGAAAAACTGTCTGACCACAGATTACACAAACTTTTGGTTTATGTTACAAGCCTTTTGACCACCATCCACCTGAAGAGGGCAGGGGAAATTACCTCCGCATCTTTGGGGCACCACATCCAGGCTGCAGTTTAACAAACACTTTCTACCAGAACTGGCACTGGAAGAAAGTTAGAAATTATAGAATCATAGAACAGCCCAGGCTGGAAGGGACCTCAAGAGATCACCTGGTCCAACCTTTCATGGGAAAGGGAGCTTATATGAGATTATCCAACACCCCCCTCCAAGCACATCTTGAAAACCTTGTCATAGGGGCTCTACTGGCATCCCTTGGGAGGTTGTTCCAGTGACTGACTGTTCTCTGGGTATAAAGTTTCTTTCTTGTATCAAGACAAAACTTTGCTCAGTGCAACTTGTACCCATTGCCCCTTGCCTTCTCCATGTGGCTCCTTGTGTAGGGAGAGCCTCCATCCTCTTTGTAGCTGCCCTTTAAGTACTGGAATACTGTGATGTGGTGCCCCCCGAGACCTCTCCAAAAGAGACTAAACTCTTTCAGTCTTTCCTCACAGGAACCCTCCAGGGTTCTCCAGCCCTTTGATCACTTTGTTCTTCCTCAGCTCCAAGCAGCTGCTTCCAGCCTCCACACTGCCTCCAGCTTTGTGTCAGCAAGTGTTTTGTCAGTCACATAAAAAACCGAATGAGAAAACTGATTTGGCTAAAAACCAACTCAGAATTACTTTTTTTTTAGACACAATAGATTATCAGTCAACACACAGCTAAACATACAGGTAGGCTGACAAAAAGCCAGAGCAGAGCTGGTCTCTGGCAGCAGTACCAGCTCGAAATGTTCATCAAGACACGCTTCGCATATCTGGAAAGGAACATCAGCATAGCTTGTCCATGCAAACTGCAATTTTCTCACTGCTCTTCATCAGAGATTAAAGTATTCCATTTCCCTAAACGATCCAACATCAATGCTCCAAAGAAATAAGTGCCAGAGGAAAAATATCAATTTGACAGAAAACAGGCTCAGCTGAAAGACATAAAGACAGAGAAGTGCTTTGCAGGCAGCATCAAAAGCTGCCTGCACACACACATCTCAAAACAGGTGTTATCAGAAGTTGGCATTTGTGCCTTTACCACATGTTAGCAGCACAGAGAATATCCTAAATCAGTTCCATTCCATATCTTGTATAATATTTACCAGTAACAAACAGGAGTCAGAGTATCAAAAAACAGTAGAAACAGATTTAGCAAAAGGTTTATTTCACACAGGCTAAGCAAAGCAGTTTCAGAAGAGAATTACGTAGGAATGACAGGAAAACCTCTCAGAGGCAACAACTTCTGGGCTGACCCTAGAGGCATGAACATTTGGGCATTTAAGCAATACACCCAGTGACCAGGTGTTTGCTAGAAACACTGGAGCTCTGCAGCACACGTCTGGCTTTACAGACCTGGGCAGCAGTCAGCCTGTTACAGTCTGCTGAGGACTGCTTCATCCCACTCCAGACAATCCTATCCAAATACCTTCAAATCTTTTGTGGCTGTCATAGTCCTCAGAGCAGGGGATCTCGATGAACTTGTCCCGCAGGCTCTCACCGCGATGAGCCAGCACCTCTGTGACCCCATCCTCGGCGCTCAGGTAGCTCCAGCTCAGGAAGCCACCGACGGCAGCAGAGGAGAGGAGGAGCGCTGCCTTCAGCCACCGCCGCCGCGACTCTTGCTGGCCTCTGCTCTTCCTGGCACTGAGGAGGGAGCACAGCCACAGCCCCACGTAAGGGGAGGACAGGGCCCGAGCCGCTTCGGCCGCCACCCCGCCCGACACCGGGGAGACCCGGTCGAGGGCCAGGGCCGGCACCCCTCCTTTGGAGGGCACACCCACGTTCATTAACACGCCATTTCCACCCCTCCTTCACGCCCGGAGGCCACAGGCCGCCTTTCCGACAG